AGAAAGGAAAAAAGGATAGCCCAGCATGGTGGCACACAAGTGTAATCCAGTACTACTCTACAAGGAGACCTAAGTAGGGGGAGGACAAATTCAAGCCCAGCCTGGGTAACTTGGTAACAGTGCAAGAACCTGTTTCCAAATAAAAAATAAAGAAAGTATTGGGTTTGTTTGTTTAGTTCTGGGGAGTAAACCCAGGGCCTTTTCACTGAGCTACTTCTCCAGTCCTTTTGCGATAGGATTTTGTTAAATCTAGCTGAGCTGGAATTTATGATCCTCCTGCATCAGCCTCCAAGAGTAGTGATTTTAAACAACCTCCTCTTGTTAGATACTCAGGTTGAGTCCACATCCGGAAATCAGTTCTAGAATAAAACATTCTCTATCACCCATGTCTGTTTCAGAAATTCATATTCTATTCCAAAGCATGAACAGTTTGAAACCAGAAAACACATGGTTGACTTATTTAGCTCTGCACGCATCACACAATCAGGTAAAGCAGGATTCTCCTTATTTTTCTTTTTCAGAATTTGCCAGGTATTTGTAGACATCGATACATGATGTCCAAGTGCAGCTGCTTTTATCTTGGTGTACAGAGAGTCCACGGTGAATCCACATGTGCCCTAAATATTTCCTGACCCCCAACAGTACCAGACCATGGTCACCATGCCTCCTCACAAGATCCCTGTCCCTAGCTCACAGCGAGATGCAATTATAGTGAAGATGAGAGTGGCTGAGGGAGGCAGGGGTGAGTGTGGACGAACCTGTCAGGTTCTGAAGCTGCAGAATCAGAGAAGGTGGGCAGCTCCCATACCCGGCACTTCAGAAGGGAGGGACACACGCACAAAAGGGAGGGACACACTGAACATTCACTCTACCTAAGCATCACTCGAGCATCACTCCACCTAAGAGCCATTCCTGACTCCCTTTTTTCCTCTTCCTCCTTCTCTGGATCCCTCTTCAGGAAAATCACACCTGAGAAGTCAACCTGGAATGAGGAAAACATGCTGTTTAATGCTTAGCGTTAACACACACCTCCTGTGTCACAACCACACCCGCACAGAAAAGACAAAGGGGATTTGACAGGGACACCTACTTAAACACTTCACTTCACATCCCTTTAATTCCACAGACCACAGACGCAAGGAAAAATGCTGCCCAGTATCAACAACTGGCTAAACACAGTGTAAGTATTAAAGTTTCGTCAACAACTGTACCAGTGAAACACTAAAACGGTATAACCAGAAATGAAAGAATAGCTCCAATATATGGTAAGGAATCAAAACCCTTCAGACTGCTCACAAGCTGAAACAGCACAGCAAGTTTAAGAAAATGATTTGGATGTTTTTTTAAAAATGAGTTTTGTGGTCAAAGAAGAAAAATGTGAAGACAGAACAATTTAGAAGGATGACATGAAGTGATTAAGGGACGGTACCAGTATCATTTCAGCAATTAAAGATTTACAGAAGAACGAAAATAAACTAAGCAGTATCTCAATAATCATGGAAACAATGTTAAGGATCAACTGGACCACTGAGTATACGGATAAATCATTAAAAGGAAGCAGACGTTTCCACTGGCGGGGTCGGGGGAGCACAATACTGTTGGTGTGCCCTTCAAAAGCACAGGTCCTGACAGTGCTTTTCCTCCTCCCAGTAAGACCCTTCTCTGCTTGGCCACCGCTGTCCTGGCACCGACGCGCTCCTCTCCCCCAGCACCACGCGTCTCCGTCTTCAGGGTCCCAATTCCACCGC